TATTTTAAGAATCTAAATATAATTCATATCATTCATTATTCATTTTAATTAATTTAATTTATTTAAATAACTATCTCAAGGTGACCATTATCTATAGAATTCTCTTAAAAAAAAAAAAAAAAACACAGGTGCTTGTGTGTTGTGTCTCTTCATTGTCCAATCCCATTTCCAACCTCCTTCGACCCATCAACTTCCAAAAAAAATAAGAAAAGTTTTAAACTCAATATTTTTATAAATTTTATTTTTATTTACTCTTTTTAAAAAAAATTTTTTTTAATTTTTTAAATAAAAATTTAAATTTATCACTTATAAATAATATAAAAAAAATAAAAACACTTACAAATTAATCCAAACATGCTATTCGTTAGTTATAATCCCACGTCCACCAAGCACTATGGTCGTCCGACGGACCCTCTATTGGGCGTGCGAAACTTTTCACAATAAAGATATGTTATGGAATCTTTTTATCAAAAAAAGCAGCTAATAACGGTTAAAATGTGAACAAGAAGTAATATTCTGTTTAATCCAATCAGGATAGCCTTAGCATGGCATTTGCAGGTGCAATTTCTGTCTTGAATTTATTTGGGGTTTTGTTTCATGCATTCTAATGTGAGAAAATCATGCCAAATGATGTAATTCTAATTCTACTAATCAAATGATGTTGACTCTTCTAAATTTTAAAGTCCAGCCGCCTGTCCATACTTATCTGCATCTACTTTTCAATCAAAAACAATGTGTTTAACATGGCCTAGTTGAAGCTGACCTAACAACAAATTTGAGTTGATATTTGTTAATTTAAAATTTTTGAATTTGAATTAAAGGTTAAAAATTTAAATTTTTGTGATGTTCAATAATTAATTCTATATTTAAAAAAATTAAATAAATAAGTAAAAATAACACTATTTTTTTTATAATTTTTTATATGGATCATATATTGAGTTTCAACTTTAAATTTTATAAGTTTTTTTTTATTTCATTCTAAAATTTTATTTTATATTTGTTAATAGATATGTTCTAACAATAAAGATTAATATACTCTCTGTTTCAAAATAATATATATTTTTTATTTAAAATTTATCTCAAAATAATAATTATTTTATTTTATTTTAAAGAAGACTTATAGTTTTTTTTTTTTGCTTTAACCCTACGATTATCTCTTAATTTTAATTATTTATCTTTTAATTATTTATCTTTTGATTGAAGTAGATATTTATTTTTAATATGAAAATAAAACAAAAAATTTATTATTTTAATATATAGGGAGTAATATTTAAATAATGAAATTTATTGATTTTTTATTATCACAAAAAATTATATAATTTCTTTTTAGGATTTAAAGTTGTTAAGACTAATAACAAAATTAAATATTACAATAATATTGAAGGACACTGGAAAATCATAGGTTTATAGTCTTATTTAAAAGTTAATTACTTTTATACTTATTCTGTCAATTTTTACGACAACAATAGAAAGAGTATTTTATCATGAAAATTGCAAAAATAAGATTTCACAACAAAATAAAAGATGAATTCTTTTCAAACACTTTAATTATTTATATTAAAAATGAAATAATTCAAATATTTAGTGTATACTCTATTTTAGATAAATTTTATAATATAAAAATTTATCGAGTATTATTTTAATTTATAATATAAAAATAAGCATTTGAATTTATAGTGTATTACTGTGAGATTTGATTTACTCCCTTACTAAAATTCGTGGCTCTGCCATTGCATATATTCTAATAATAAAGTTATTTATATTTTTAATTATAATTTTAAAATTCAATTCTTAACTTCTACTTATCAAAAAAGATGGATTTATATAATTAGTATACGTAGAAATTCTTTTTTTTTTTTTTACATTTTATCAAAAGATCAACTTAAACTATTACCTTTTAAAAGAGATATAAACTTTACAAAAATGACAAAAACAACTTAACCGCAGGACAGGTTCAGAAATTCTACTCTTTTGAATTATCAAAGTAGTTGGTTCCACATATAGGATAACGTCATTTCCTCAAAAATTGCACCTAATTTCCTTTAGGAGAATTGCCGAAAAGTTTCAATAGCTATAGTAATCATGTTGAAAGTGACTGGTGTCTCGTAGTGTTGAATTTCAAGTCCGTGAAGTAGACAGCAAGTAATCAGTTAGTCAATTGGATCATTGTTACTTCTAAAAATTAAATTGGGTCTGGGTCACCAAAATCCAAACCCAGGATTTTTATGGTTCAGGCATTTAATTTAACGGCAACATTGGGCCTTAACTATCAATAATTTTTGGGCTTTTCGGTTTGAAGCAGGACGGTTTGCATAGAGAACCTAAGTGTGAGTGGGCCTCCAGACTATCACTGTAACAGCTGGGTTGAGTTGCTAATTCGGCCCATTTAAATGATGTTGGGCAAATCGCCTATTTTGTATTTAATCTTGAAATCGTATCACTTGAAACCCTAAAATTATTAAATTGCATCACTCAACTCCAACCGTTAGTTACATAGCCGTTAGGCCCAATCAAAATCCAATCCTAGGCTTGCAAATCTGTTAAAGTGAAAAAGAGAAACACACATTCAGGCCCCAAAAATTTCATAATTGGGCTTGCAAGCCTAGTAGTGCACTAGTGCTACAGTCCATGACCCATGTATGGTTCTGAACATTCTCGTGTTCCAGAACCGAAGTCCAATATATATAAATATATTTAATTATTATTACCATTGTCAAAGGTATTAAGAGTATGCTCGGATGGGCCTAAAACAAAGGGAAATCACTACCAACAAAAAAGCCAGTAAAATATTTTTCATAGCTGGGAGACGTTAAAATCCTGAGAGTCGTCACCGTTTCATCAACAAACTCATCAGTTACGGTAAAAGAAATAGATAGGTAGCCATTTGTTTCCACTTCTTACATGACAAGATTCTACTAATAAATAACTCCAACAATCAGATTTTGAACAACATAGAAAGGATTGTCATGTCCTAAGGTCCTGATATGAAGCCTAACTAGATATCATGATAGCTAATGCTAATCTATCCTCCACCATGGTATTCAATAATAACACAAGACATACTACTTCCATATATGAGGAGTGAAATTTGAACCAACAGAATTAGCAGTCTAACCACCTAGAAAATAATTATTCCTCATCAATAAGTTTGAAATATAGCATTTAAACTATAAATAATAATTTGCTACCACATTAACCACACTTTAAGAGCTATTTGTCAAACTAGAGTCTCGTTGGAACTTCACATGCTGTCAACAATATATCAATATTTGAGTGGTATAGTTTAATAACTTTAGGGTTTCAGGTTTCACAATTTTAAGTTTGGGTACCAAACAGGCAGTTTACCCAACGTATATCAAATGTTTGGGCCAAATAATCTAAATTCAGATTGACACCTTAAAGGAATAGTCTAAAGGCCCAGTTAGGCCCTTTAGGGGCAAGTTCGCATTGATCTGTAGAAAAGCCCGGTAAAATATTCAAAGTTCTTTTTTGGGCCAAGGCAAATATTCAAAGAAAAAAGTAAAAAGAAAAATCGATCAAGGATACAAACTTTTCAAAGCTTGCTAATTGAGGATATTCCTAATAAATCATTTTACAGAATAGGATACGAACTTTTCCATTGGACCCTGCCCTTAAGGAAATTGAATTAAATAAACCTAAAGGACACTAAAGATTGGTGATGGAGTTCAGTTGGACGCTTCCCTTAATGGAACTTGAAAAGTAATAAATATGAATTATAACCTTAAATTCTATAGGATCCTAGCACAAAGAAATTAAATAATATATGAATCACAAAGAATAAATCTACACGAAATGAAAAAAATTAAGTTAATTTTAAAGGGATAAATCAGGCAAGTATAGACATAAGCATGCACATGTCATATGTTGAGATATCCCTCCTGGCCACTATATTAATCTAATTAGGAAGTATATAAACTATAGGTTAAATACTTTTTTTGGTCCCTCTGCTATAGCAAAAAGCCTCTTTTTAGTCCTTGTACCAAAAAAATCTCCTTTTTGGTCCTTACTGTTTGAAATCCGACCTCTTTTTAGTTCTTCCGTTAAATTTTTGCTGATGTGGCAGGTTAACTAATGGAATCACTTGATTATTTTTTATATAAATGATACTATAAATGATGTGGAAATTATGTGAATGCCACCTGTATAAACCAGAATGACGTGGAAATTATCGAGCCACGTAAGCTTGTTCCCGGCTTTGTAATTCAACCTCTTCCAAACCAAAATAACATGGCCTAGTAAAAATGAAAGTGTTGGCCGGAAAATGCAAGAGGTGAGTGCCCTTAGCACTCCTCAATTAAAAATTTTACATTTTAATTCATGAATTAAATGAATTTAAATAGGATTAATATTAATTTTTTCATCTTCTTCTTTCTCCTTATCCTTATCCTAGTCCTCATCCTCATCCTCGACATCATCATGTCATCAGCATCATGCATGTCATCCTCTTCATCATCCTAGGTTACTCGCAGAACCCCCTTGCTGGGTTCCACGAACCCAGTTTCTAGGTTGCTTGTAGAACCCTCTTGCTGGATTCCTCGAACCTAATTTTCTGGGTTACTTACAAAACCTAAGAAAATGAGAAATTATCCTCAAATTTCTTGATGTCTCATCAAAATTGTTTTACAAATGAGATGGACCAACAATGCAGTAGAATTACCAATAATCACACACAAGATCGGGTCACATTCTTAATAAAATTGAACAAAAATCACAAAAATAAGATCTAAGCATCAAAATCTGATCTAGCAAAAAACAAATCGATGCCTCACTGTGCCACAAATCTGTGCGAAATGAGAAGAAAAGATACAACGTTGATTCAGATGGTTTAAAACTCCTCTAGTGAGGAAAATCAGTCTATAGATCAAATCCGATTAGAAAATGAAAAAAGTGATTCAATGCCTCAATGTAGCAGAAACTGGGTTCCTTGAACCCAGCAAGCAAAGAACCCAGCAACTGGATTCTGCGAACCCAGCAATTGGGTTCCTTGTGGAACCCAGATCTAAGTTCCACGAACCCAGCAACTGGGTTCCTCACGGAACCCAGATCTAGGTTCCGCGAACCAAGCATCGCGAAATCCAGATCTAGGTTTCGCAAACCGAGCAACTGAGTTCCGCGAACCCAGCAAAAGGGTTCCGTGAAGAACCCAAACTAGGTTCACGAACCCGCAAAGAGCCTAGCAGCTGGTGAGGATGAGTATGATGCCAAGGATGAGGAGAAAGAAGGTTAGCGTAATCTGTAACTCTTCCCACATCGCTTCAGGCCTAGAAATTTATCAATGTTAACGAAGAAGAAGACAAAAACGATTAAGAAATTAAAATTAATCCTATTTAAATTCATTTAATTGATGAATTAAAAAATAAAATTTTTAATTTGTACATATGGCATCCACATAATTTCCACCTCATTTATAATATTATTTGTATAAAAAATAATTAAATGATTCCGTTAGTTAACTTGCCACATCAACAAAAATTTAACGGAAAGACTAAAAAGGGATCGGATTTTAAACAGTAAGGACCAAAAAAGGGATTTTTTCAGTATAGAGACTAAAAAAGAGCTTTTTGTTATAATAGAGGGACCAAAAAGGATATTTCACCTAAACTATATGCTAACTCGATATCTGATTCTGAAAATGGATAAAAATGAAAATATTTGGTGGTGATTAATTTGTGGATCCTCATTTCTAATATATCTTTTTCGGCAGTATCCGGCTGACTTAATGAATGTTTTGGATTTGTTTTATTAGACAGGCTGTGGAAATGAAATACTTTTTTGGTAAAAAGATACTTTGAATATCTTATTCAATAGTTACAAAAGATCAACGTTGATCCGATACAGTAATGTGAAAAGTCACAGAAGAATTATTTATATCCACAACTTAGTTAATTAGTCTCGTGGGTATTTCTTCTTTTTTTCATTTTTCTTTTTTTTTTGGTCAGTTATTGTTTGAGAAGGAGAGAAAATCCAATTCATCAGGTCTTTAATTCGAAGTTAAAAGTGAGGGTAGGTGCATCAACCACTTGAGTTAAGAGTAATCATATAAGTTATGTAGCGTATGATAATGAAGTTATGTGTATATATTTTTAATTATAAAATTTGTGGTTAATATTTAGTTTTATTTACTTGTATTAAAAAAATATAGTAGTACTGATTAAATACGTGAATATATTTATTTTTTTTATTTTTTATTTTTTTTTATAATCTTTCCTCCTCTCTATCCAGGGGTGGAGCCAAAAAGTTTTAATAAGGAGAGACTAAATTTTCAAATTTCAAAATAATACATTATAATTTTAAAAGCTTATTTTTATATTATAAATTAAAATAATATTTAACAAGTCTTCATATTACAAAATCCATCTATAATAGAGTTTGCATTAATTGTTTGAATTATTTCCTTTTCAATATAAATAATCAAAGAGTTTCCTTTTCAATATAAATAATCAAAGAGTTTGAAAAGAAATCATCTTTCATTTTGTTGCGAAGTTTTATTTTCACAATTTTTATGATAGAAAATGCTCTTTCTGTTGTTACCATAGAAACTGAAAGAATAAGTACCAAAATAATTAACTTGTAAATGAGATTATAAACCTCTGATTTTTTGGTCTCCACAAGCTTTGACAAGTTTAGAAATATTTAACAAATTCTGAAAACCCTTCTTAACTTGTTTTAATCTCATAATATTGAAACTCTAATAGCAAATAAACGTTCTTCATCTTTAAAAAATCTTAAGGATAATATTTTCCTACAAACTTATAAATATGATCAATATTAAAACTCTTACACCTATTTTTAAAATTTAAAGTACAATTGAGAGTCAATAGTTCTAGACTCCTTTTTTTTTTTTTTTCTTTTTTTGTTGGGTACTTTGAGGTTAAGGGATTGCGGCTGGGTACTGGAGAGACAAGGTAGAAGACATAAGGAATCTTCTTCTTTCTTTTTTTCTGTTTTTTAGAGGGTTAGGTAGATAATTGTGGGTTTTGGAATGAGTTATCTAAATAATAATAAATTATTAAATTATTAAAAAAGATAATGAATAATATGAATTATATTTGGATCCTTACAATAATTTATTATTGTTGGATTTTTTTTATTTATATATTTTAACAATTAAAAATATAATATTTAAAATTTAATAGTAATAATTAATAAATTAATTATATATAT